TGCTTCCTTCATTTATCCTTCTTGGTGTGCCGCCTATAAAATATTCACGAGATGGGTGATGGCTCCCCCTGCTGGAGTCAGAGTCAGAGGGCGATCGGACGAGAGCGCTGTCGGGGCACTCCGGATGAGGTATTTCAACGAGAGCGGCTCTTCCCCGGCCAGCTGCGTCATGACATTAGCGAAGAAGAAGGTGAAGCTGCCCAGGTCCTCCCGGGACTATCGGGTCTCAGGAAGGCACCGAGCGAGCGCTCTTGCCTCCCATAATCGAAGCCGAAGAGTTGGTCACTCCTGGGGGTGCGGGCCTCCATTGCGTGCAGCTACAACTCCTCAAGCGTCTCGGTGATCGCGTCGAGGCCGGTGGAGTGGAGAGGTTGACGGCGACGGGAGCCTGCATCAACTCTCCGTCCATCGTGACGATGAAGTCCAGGTTCTCGAAGCGCACGTGCGCGCCTGGGACCCAGCTGATGCCGTGACTAGCCATCTGAGGCCTGATATGGACGTCGAGATGCGCAAAAAGCCCATACCTGGCGCGCCAACTGTTGGTGTTTTCGGACCACCGACGAGTAGATTTGTATTTGCGCGTCTGGCTCGGATGGTGTGCTTAGAGGACACGAGGTTTATACTGATTCGGGCAGAAAGTCCCTACGTCCTATTTGTCGTTGCTGCTTGTGTTACTAGCACTAAAAGTTTATAGTAGGGGTTACAAACAGAGCGAGAGAGAGAAAGGATCCCAAGTCTCTGGTGAAAGGAATGAACGGGTGCTAGAGAGCTCGATCCCTTCTCAGCCATGTGCTCGTGTCGTGCTCTTGTGCGGATATGGCCCGATCCCTTTCATGGGGCGCTCTGCTTTTCCTTTTATAGATCAAGGGAAGCACGGGTTACAGCGGAGGAAAAGAGAAGAACGAGAGAGAGAAAGGCTTCTAGGATCGCCGGGTCCTTCTTCTCCTTCATGCGGGTCCCGCTGATCCTGTAGATGTCAACAGGGACGGCTCCACGTCGCGGCCTTGTCCGTCACTGGCGCCATGTGCGCAGGCGTCATCTGCCGGTCATGGCGTTCCATCCCGTCTCGGTGAACGTCGTAGTGAACTGACGCGTCTGTCAGCATTCGTACGAGGGTTAGACAGAATAGCACCGGTACGTCCGATGCTGTTCTTGATGTGAATCCTCAGATATGGCCCGTCATGGCCTTGGGTTACGTCGAGTCGTGCCCGTCTCTTCCCTGATGTCAGAGTTTTAACCCAGGCCCATACGCGTGGACCTAGAGTGGTTGGCGGCGATATGGGTCCCCGTCGCACGAAACGAAGCCTTCCACCCTTGGGCGAGACCCCCGCGGCCTCGGGGTTGGGCGAGACAGAGCCCGCGACCCTTGGGGTCGAACAAAGACGGAGAACGCACCCAAGGGTCGAGTGAGATGGAGCCCGTGGCCTCGGGTCGGACGAGACGGAGCCCGCGGCCTTGGGCGAGACTCCCACGGCCTCGGGGTCGGGCGAGACGGAAACTACGTCCTTAGGGTCGGACGAGACAGAGCCCATACCCAAGGGGTCGGACGAGTCATGTTAATACATCTTGCTCTGTCCGAGAAAGTCAGTGTGTGTTAACTCCCTTACTTTTAGTATCTCTAATATCGATACCCGACACCAAGTAAGAAAAAATAAAAGAAATCACCAATATCCTCGAGAAAGGGTATAAAATGCATTGTTATTCAGCAAAACAACACTAAGCAGTAAGCAGCACACCGGCAGCCCGTCAGTGCTTGAGGTGCGGCGGTTCTCCTGTCTAGCGTTGCAGCTCCAGCCGTCGCAGGCGCTCCACCTCCCTGCCGATGACGCCGCAGCGCACCATACTGGCCACCGTCCGCCACAGCAGCCGGAGGTCGCCCCACGGCTCGCCGGGCACCATCCGCTTGTACAGGTAGCTTTCGAACGTACGCCGCTGCACGTACTCGTCGGCGCACATCTCCACCAGCGCCTCGCGGCCGGCGTTCCCGCCGTAGAACATGCGCTGCAACAGGTCCAGGAACCGGAACATGAGCAGGAACTCGTCGTCCCAACGCCGCAGGTAGCCGCACCTCAGACCGGCCTCCGTCACGGCGCCCGTGCGCGCCCACTCCTCCGCCATGGCCTGCCCGCACAGCCGCCCCGACTTTGCCGCGAAGTAGATGCCCTCGCCGGAGCAGCGCGTGACGTACCCCGCCGCGTCGCCGACCAGGGCCACGCGCCCCACGACGCGGCGCGGGCGCGGGTGCTCCGGGATCGGGTGCGCCTCCACCTTGACCACGCGGCCGCCGGCGATCTTGGGGCCCGCGCGCGCCCGGATGCCGGACTGGAGGCGCTTGATCTCCGGCTTGGCGGCGACGGTGCCGGTCCCGACGGCGACGTGGTCGCACTTGGGGAACACCCAGCCGTAGAAGTCCGGGGACACGTCCCCGCCCACGTACATCTCGGCGAGGTCGTCGTAGTACGCCATGGCGGCGTCGGGGAGGCGGATGCGCTCCTGGAACGCGATGGCCGTCGTGTAGTCCCCGGCACCCACCTCGCGCGCCACGCGGCTGTTGGCGCCGTCCGCGCCGACGACGGCGTCCACCTCCAGCACGCCCCGCCCCGCGCCCCCGCCCTCTGGGGAGGAGGACGAGATGTAGTGGACGAGGTAGGGGTCGGCGGGCCCCGCGGGGAGCGAGAGCGAGGTGACGAGGCCCGGGACGAGCTCGGCGCCGGCCTCGGCGGCGCGGCGGCGGAGGAAGGAGTCGAGCACCTCGCGCCGGAGCATGGGGATGTGCGCCCCGGGGGGCAGCGCGCGCGAGAAGTCGGCGGTGAGGTTGGAGGGGGAGACCACGCGCATCCGGGTGACGCGGCGGTCCACGAGGTCCCGCGGGATGGCAAACTCGTCGAGCATGCACAGCGGGATGGCGCCGCCGCAGGGCTTGGCGCCCGCGGGGCTGCGCTCGAGGAGGAACGTCCGGGCCCCCGCCGAGGCCAACGCCTCGGCGGCCGAGGCGCCCGCGGGGCCGCCCCCAACTACGGCCACGCGCAGCGGGCGCGCTGACGACGACGACGAGGTGGTGGTGGCTGAGCAGGAGATGATGATGCGCGCTGGGGAGTAGCAGGCGGCGGCCATGGTTGTCCGGTGTGGTTTGGGCGAATACGGGGGATTCACGAATGGGCTTGGAGATTTTCCTTCTTGGCGAGTGGAGCACTAGTTTAAAGTTTGTTTTGCTTGGAGTCTAGCTACGGCCTGCGGGCGCGGTGTGACACTGTCGGAACTGGGGACAAGCCGGCCAGGCGGGATTTCAAAGCATTACTTGTTGACCGTTTGGATCTAAAATGGACAGCAGCAGATCGCTTTCCTTTCTTCCTTCCAGGTGAGCCATTATAAAAGATTGTAATCTCCTCTTAAAAAAGTTTAGTGGACTTCAACGTCACCGTTCTAAATTTTTTCCCCCTCCATGTCACTGCCGTTAGATTAAGCTCTAACGGTGTTAAACTATAGGTGTGAAAAGTCAAAAATACTCTTAGATCTAAATATACCATTAATTTTTTAAAGCATCTTAACGACTTTAAATAAAAAAACTCAAAACTAGAAAGTTGTAGATCTCGTCGAGATCTATAATTTTTATATAAAATTATCTTCATTTAATTCTATAAAAAAAGATATGATTTAATATGATTAAAATCTTAGAAAAATCATATATTTTTTTGCAGTATTAAATGAAGATAATTTTTATATGAAAATTATAGATCTCGACGAGATATACAACTTTCTAGTTTTTGAGTTTTTCATTTAAAATCGTTAAGATACTAAAAAAAATTAATGGCATATTTAGACTTAAAGGTATTTTCGACTTTTCAAACTTATAGTTTGACACAGTTAAAGCATAATCTAATGTTAGTGGCATGAAGGGTCAAAAAAAAAAAAATTAGAGCAGTAACGTTAAAATCCGCCAAACTTTTTCACTGACACATAAGAAATTACGATTTTTTTTAATGGATCAAGCAATTCCCTCCCCTCTGGACTACTGGCCACCCAGAGCGTCCATGTCGAGTGAAAAAAGAACCTCTGGACTACGGAAGTCTATATAACTACGCCAATTGAACTGATCGTTCAGTTTAGTAAGAGTGCAGGTACATCGTCAACTCAAACCTGTAGTCTGGAGTAGGGCGTCCACTGTTTACAGACACTTGAGCACGTTTTTTGTCAAAAAAAAAAGCACTTGAGCACGTTCTGAAGAGGACTAGAGTAAAGCACGAACAAGGTATTTTCAGAAACAAGCAGAAAACTAAACAGAAGAAAGCTTCAAAACTCAATGTCACGCTATAAAGCGCTGGAAACTCGATAAACATCTGCTGTGTTTCTCCTGCCACGGTTAGGGCATTCCAACGAACAACAATACACGAATTTAGACTCTCCTCTGCGAGGTGTTTTCAGCTGCACAGGTCAGGGTCACCTTCAACTAATTGGATTGCTAGGCACAGTCCACATGTTTTCAATGTCAAACAGACTGGCCCATATGACAACTGCAAGTCAGGTAAGCACAATGGCTAATGGAACGTCCTGCTCCCAACCTCATTGAAGCACCATAGCTTCTTCCTTGCCACCTCTGTATCTGTAGTAGCAACGGCATAACTTGTAAACATAACGAAGGCAAAGGCTGTCTCGTGGCGTCTGAGCTTAACTAGATGGCACATACAGAATGGTACCTCAAATCCTCATGATGCTTGTGAGTTGGTTCCATTGTTGTCGTCCATGGGCATTCCCCTGTTAACAAGTATTTTATCACGATTCATAAGTACAAAGAGGGAGCGGGAGGGGGAGGGAGAGAGTGCACGTACAGTTCTTTTGCTTCAAGTTTAAGCTGATCAATCTGATTCTGCAGGTCAACACAGGCAGCTTGAATAGCTATATTTTTTTGACACAGCTCCTGCCATTCAATTGTCAGGGCATGCAGCTGTCCTCCAGTATTTTGCTGATCAAAAAACAAATTATGAGCTGCCTGTGAAATATTATCATGACTCAAACTTCCCAATAAAGAGATCAATGCTTGTAACCTGGTGGAACTTCCTCTCACGATTGACATTTTCTATCCTTTCATTGTATTCTACAGCCATCTTTTGCATCCTGCATATAAGATGGCAGATCAATGTCTCAAATCCATATTGTGACACTGATCGGTACTATTTTAAACCTATAAAGCATGTAGAGTGCTTCAGTGGACATCTAAGCTGGCACTATCGCTGACATATCACACATAAAACCAACAAAATATGATATATATATATAGATACATCATTTTTTGTTGCATCCCAAGAACTGATAGCACAGTCCCTAAACCAAACTAAGAGCGCGTTTGGTGCGGCTCCTCGCGAGCGCTCTGCTGCCAGAGCTGGAGCCCCAGAAACCAGCTTCACCTCCATACGTGCAAAATGGCTCCGGTTCCTCTCCCACAGGTGCAGAAGCGCTTCTCCTATCCTGGCCATTTGGTGCAGCTCCTCCGGCTCCGTTGCCGAAGTTGCCGGTGGAGCCAAAGCCAGCGTGGCACCAAACAGGCCCTAAGTTTTAAATGAAAGGCAAAGAAAAAAGAGATACGGCATTGTCAAGGACCACATGGACATTAACTTACCTAGACAGAACAGATTCCATTTGTTTGTTCTGGAGCTTCCAAACATCTACACCATATTTCAGCATAAGCTCGAGATTCTCTATCCTGAAATACTAGCACTGTTTCAAAACATATTTTTCGAAACAAGGCACCACCAAATCTCCATTTATCATAAACAGGAAAACAGATAAAAGTTTGTTCGGAAATAGAGCAACAGTAATTACTATTCCTTCTATTCATCACTTTTACAAGGAATGAAAGTTTCAAGACTTTGAATACATTTACTAAAACTAACATGCAGGTTTAATGAAAAAAAAGGTAATGTTAGATTTTATAATATTATGATTGTTATTTCATAATTATCACTTATCAACCATATATATTACAGAAATGAATGGTCAGATTCAAAATTAGCCTTACGGAAATCATTGAAGAGAGTATAAAAAACATAGGCCACCGTGAACTTGTGACCCTTTATTAAATGGAGTAAAAAAATGCAACCATGATAAGAGATAAAGTTCATTAACTCAGTATGCACCAGTTTTTATGCATTTCTTTGGTGGAGAAGCATGGGCACTATTCTGACTATGGCATGTCAAGAATGGTTATGGCAGCTTATCACTACATGCTTTAGAGTTCAGAAGAAATTCTCACATAATGCTACACAATACTGCAAGTCATTCAAGATTATTACAAGCCATAAACTTGCAGCTGTTACAAAAATGTTTTCCTTAGTTTCTACATAGACACACAGTTCTGCAAATAGGCGTCTATACTATAGAATATGAATACATAACCCTTGATGCCCCAAAAGTAATACCCTGACTTACCTTATAATTTGATGCTGCAATTGGCTCTGAGCATTCCGTAGAGCCTGCCTCCAGGCACCAACATCATTCCTCTTGTTCATTGGAGGTGGCTCCAAACCATAGCGAGACATATCTAGCATAAAAGGAGGTTTGCCAGCCCTAACTCGTTCATATTCTTTAGCAAGCATAGGATGATTCTGAAACAAAAATGATAGCATACTTTGCGTTAATTGCATCACACATAAATTTTCAAACAGTCAAGACTTGCAAACATCTTGATTCACATCGCGGTTCTGGTTTTGATATGGCATAATAATAGTTAAAACAAGTATACCTAAGCTATCTATGGAATTAAAATACATGAAAACATAACTTCACAAGGTCAAAGTTTAATAGCAGTGCTCACTAAACAGTACAGAATATTTTCTGTTAAAAACCTCAAAAACAAACTTAGAAAATCTTCCAAGTCATGTTTTGATATTGAATTTCAATTAGAGATGATTAGTTCATCATAAATGGTCAATATTTGATCCTCAGAGCTCAGTGTCATGACCAGATGAGGTATAATAACCTCAAATCCATCAGAAGTAAACATCAATCCATCGAACTAAAAGCATAAGCGTGTCCTTTTCTGGCCATTCAGCCTTTATCTGAGCCCGAAGTAAACATCAAGCACAAAAATCCTTGATTTGTACAGGATTTCCATCTGAAGTAATAAAAGACAGACTACAAGAGCATGATACCCCAGCTTAAAATGCACTGTTACAGAAAGGGAGCACAAAACTGTGCTAGGTGTTATACCTATTATACAACCCAATTAAATGGTTCACAGGTAAAATGTAAAAGGGTTATCAACTAAAACTTCAATTTCATATGCAACAGTTCTAAAGTCTAAGCAATGCAAAGATGTACCAAGTTAATTCACTTAGACCTCCACAAAATCTAAACAACGGAAACATATATTCATAATTCATCCAGCAAAGTTAGTTCACTGTGACCTCTACAACTGCAAACCCTAGCTCCCACCCGACCCTCCATTGAACCCTAAATGCAGATCGCACCTGCTAGCATCGACGAAGCTGCAACCTGTTGCTATGTCCCTAGCATCCGCAGAAACCGTATGGATTTGAGCTACTTGGCTCCAATATACATTAGGGGCTAAGAAATTTGTACGGCTGTACCTCGAATCCGGCGGTGGGAACAGGGGGCAGGTCCCGGAGGAAGTCTGCGGGCTTGCGCTTCCCTCGGCGCATCTCCTCCTCGACGAGGCGGTCGACCTCCCGCTTCACCGCCGCGTCGCCGTAGTCTCCGTCGATGTAGGGCAGCGCGTCGACGGCCTCCGCGTCCGGCGCCGCGCGCCACGGCCCCGCCGCGGGGTCAGACGGCGGCGGGGCCTCAAGCATGAGCACCTCTCTCGTCGCCGACGAGGCCATCGCGTCAGGCAGTAGAGGCGCAGTCGAGAGAGAGGGAAGCTGTCGCGTAGGCCGGCGCGGAGGAGGAAGATGGAGAAGCGGAGGTGTTGGGATGGAGATGGAAGGAGAGGCTTTTACACGTGTGCGGTTATAAAAGTCGGTAATTACTCCTGTATCATTAAAAAAAGTTGAGTTATCGACAGTTGTCACTGTTCGGAACTCATTTGCCCTCACGTCACTTCGTCAAATTTTGTTCTAACGATCTCAAACTACTGAGTGTGAAAAATCAAAAATACCATCAGTTCTAAATATACAATTAATTTTTTAACATCTTAACGATATCAAATAAAAAAAACAAAAAACTAGAAAGTTATTTTTATAAAAATTATCTTCATTTGATTATGTAAAAAAAATATGATTTTTCTAAGACATTAATAATATCAAATCATATTTTTTTATAGAATTAAATAAAGATAATTTTTATATAAAAATTATAGATATTGTCGAGATCCACAACTTTCTAGTTTTGAGTTTTTTTATTTAAGGTCATTAAGATATCCAAAAATATTAATTATATATTTAGACCTGAGGGTATTTTGGACTTTTTATAATCGTAGTTTGACACCGTTAAAGACAAATCTAACGAAAGTGACGTGTGGATGAAAAGAGTTCACAGCGATGATATCGATAAAAACTCAATTTTTTTAATAACTGGTACATAATTACTGACTTTTATAGCGGCACCGCGGCGCGCATTGGCCGTCTGGAGTTTTGGGTTCAGCCCGGTTCGAAAGGTCCGTGTCTTTTTTTTCTTCCGAGAGAGAGGACCCGTGAGGCCCCTATCTTTTAGCTGAAAGCCAGAAACTGAAGTGAACACACGAGATCTGCATCAAATCGTTTCCATCTCCAATTCTCCACTGTACATGTACTTTGGTCGCTAAAGCTGGAAGCTCTCCATTCATAAAGAAAAAAGAGAAATCAAATTTTGGCCATCTAGTTATTGTCCATTTTTGTTTTTAGCGATGTAACTACAAATCAGAAATCTTTGGCTATAGAACTATCAGTACCGAACAAATTTGACCATCTAGCTGGATTAAATATGGTTTTTCTTTTACAAAAATAACAAAAATGAGTTTGTATTGTAAAGAACTATAACTAATTAAATCCATATCAAACCAGAGAAAACATAAACCAATACCATTTTTTTTCTAAGGATCAAATATGTCTATTGGCACTCTATCTAGAATAAGTACCTATTTTATTTGTTAGTTATTAAAATTATCATTTTACATTATATTGTACCCGATATGTACCAGGAGAATTCATAGTGAGCTATGAGTAAATAGAATATATGGAAGACACTAACAATCTCACAAATGCAATGCTCCATCACATATAGAAAAAATTTAGCCATTGCAACTAATGTGACATCGATAGCCCTCTGAAAATAATTCGATTTATTCAACTCCAATATATTTGGTAATCCATTTTGTGTATTTATTCTCTTGGTTGATCTCTCGGTTTAATATAGTATAGAATGATGATTTGATAAATAATCCGCATGACTATATGCAATAAAACACTATGAACAGCTAGAAATAAGATCCAATAACTTCAAATGGAGCACTAATAGAAAAGGACATACTTTTAGAAAACGTCTCATAATATATAGTTTTATATTTTTTATTAATTAAAAATTAAAAAACAAACCAATTTTATTATTTTCAGAAGACACAAAACCACCCTTGAAACCAGTTAGATGTCTAAATTTGTCCAATACTGACAGTCCAGTGATCAAAGATTTCTAATTTTAGAATTGCAAGGCCAAAAACGAGCAATAGTTGAATGGTAGAGTAGAAATTTCGGGAGCCTAATTCTAGCCTGTTTCCCATAATACAATGACAAACGGGTTCATGAATATCATAGGTTGGTTTAACATCATTTTTGTGTATTTATCTTTCTTGAAAACCGGACTTGATGTTTGGAAGCAAATATATCTAGAAACGTGAATCAGATATTGGAACAGTAAACATTAACATTGATAAAGTCTCACTATTAACAAGGTACATCATCTATTATTAAAAGAAAATAGCCACACCAATATTCACAATAGTGAACAGGATGTGAAATATGAGATCTTATCCCAAAAGTGTAGGTGTGGTTACAATGATTTCCGCCAACAATCTAAGATATTGTTTGGTTCTTCGCTATTCCATTGTTTAACATATGCTATACTCTCTGTGTCTTAAAATATAAATACTTTTGGTTGTGTCCTTAGTCAGATTGTTCTAATTCTAAGTTTGATTAAGTTTATAAAAAAATAACTATCATAGAAGTACACTATAAAAATAGTTTTATAACAAATACAGTGATCATTTGATATTATAGATATCATTATTTTTTTGCATAAAGTATATCAAATTTAAAATGATTTGAGTTAAAACAAATATAGAAATATTTATATTTAAAACGGATATGTTCAGTCTCTTGAAAACGCATACATTATACGCAAACGTGTTTCAGTGAGTGTACGTACATAAGCACACTCTACCGCGCGGCAAGCGTGGTATCAACTTTGCAAACGTACATAAGCACACTCTGTTTGTGTTGAGAAAAATAAAATAAAATTGAGGCGTGCGCCCTCCATTTGCTAAAATCTCTTAACCCCCACGCAAAAAAGAGAGAGGAAAATATCTTGGTATTGCTCTGGGGACATCACATCAGTAGTTAGTTGATGAATACCCAACCACGTCCACATACCCTGGCCCCCGGTGCACGGGCAAAGATCAAGAAGATGCCTGTCGCCGCGCGGCAGCATCCCCCGCGTGAGCGGCGACACCTGACGCGCCAACAGACCACCACCGGTGGCACGGCAGCACCAGCGCTCATCAGCCTCCGCCTCCACGTCCACGCGCCGGGGCGGCGACCTCCCACCCGTCTCGCACGCCGAGATTCTTTTCCACGCCCTTTTCCCCGATTCCTTTCCACCGCCCCCGCCCGCGCATTCCAGTCGCCCTCCCCCCACCCCACCCCGGTCCCCCGGTCCACACTTCCACTCCCAACCCCACCAGACCCTCAACTGCTACATTTCCGTCACTACCGGAGCCGCCACTCCCACGACCACGAACGCGGGCGGCGGAGCGGAAACGAACCAGGTGCGTGCCTCAACGCCTGCCCCTCTCCCTTCCTTCATTCCTTCCTTCGTGCCGCCTCGCAGTTCTCGGCGATCGGGGTCCGGCCACTGCGAATTCCCGGCTGTTATCGGGCTGGGGTTTGGGCGCCGTGTTTGGCGGGTGAGATTAGATTCCTGCTCCCAGCTGCTTTACTTGTCCCTTGGCAGATCGCTTGGGGTTGGGTTCTTCGTGGATGTGAGGTGAGGGTGAGGTGGGGTTTCGATCCGTTCCTCCTCCAGCTCCGGTGGTTCTCGCCGGTCGCGTTGGCTCCCGGAAGATCGGAGCTGCACACTGGCGGCACCGCGTTGCGTTAACTTGATCTCGACCTGGCGATGTGGAGCGCTTCCAGATCCAATCCTGCGTCGTGCGAGGACCAACAGCTTGTACCTCGCCCGAATTCCAGTACCCTGCCATGCTACGATTTTGATATGGCTGCTGCTCTGTCAGTCCACTCCCATACGTCGTGGTGACTGGAATTTAGTGGCCTGCCGGCCTGCTGCCCTATTTAATGACCCCCTCCTTTTCGGAGATTTTGATGTTTGATGGCCCAGTCTTGGCATTGAATCGATCATCAGTTGGAAGCTGCTATCTGTATCTATTATTCCTAGATTATTTTGTTTTGTTTGCACCAAGGCCATGACCGGGATGCCTGTTCATATTGACCTTTATACTCAGAATATGGCATTCATAACGCTCCAGTAAGAAGGAAATGCACACTTTTTTTCCCCACACCAGTCTAACCCCATTTCCATTCTGATGTAGCAGAAGAGCAGAAAGAAAACAGGCTACTACCTCCAGCATATCTGCACTCTGCCTCAGAGTCAGATAGTCCCCAGGAGCTAAACGTTTAAAACCGACCAGTTTGCGAAAGCATAGTAAAGTTCTACAGGCCTATTACAGACCTTCCAGGTCGAACAGTGATATCACAAAACTCCACAGATCGAAATACACACTTGCCATGTAGAATATCATTGTAACAGAAAACTTTCATGCTCCCAAACAAGACTGCAGTCAACCAGTTTTATGTTCAATTGCAGAATTTCAGTCTCTTTATGTGTTTGTGTTGTGATGCTAAAATGGTCTGCATAGATCATTTTGGAGAAATCATACTATCGTAACTTTTGAAGTCTGAAACATATAATTTGGTACAATTCATTGTCCAAACTTGTGTTTATGGCACTGTATCTATGTCAGTATGTCTACTTTAAATTACTGCTTCTTGTGACTGGATGGACTAATTTAACTTCTGTTGGACATAAAAGCTGAGCTCTTGTTAACCTCGGGTATTTACCTGAATATTTGCCGCACCCTCTTAATTAAGCTGTTAATTTTTCAGTATGCTATTCTGTTAACTTTTCTTTTGCTACTTTTTGCACAAAGTTGCCGGATGAAATTAATTTATGTATGTTCATTCTTCTTCTAATAGCATTAATGCACGGTTGCAGTTATCTAGTGGAGCTGCCTCGTTCAAGGTACTGTAATGTCCTTTCTATTCAAGTCTAGCAATGGCGGCACCACTGAAAAAACCCTGCCCCAAGAAGAACAGCAAGAAAAAGTAAGATCAACCTTGCCTAGACATCTCTGCTGGATTTTAGCTATGTGCTTTCTAGTAAGTATTAACTTTCTGCACTGTGACTCTGTGAGCAGATAAATGAACTACGCAAGGAGCTTGGTGAACACTCATCAGCAGCCATTCAAGACTTCCTTTCAGATGCCTCATTAGCGAGATTTCTTCGAGCAAGGAACTGGAATGTGCAGAAAGCTAGTAAAATGATGAAAGCAGCTGTGAAGTGGCGGCTTGCATTCAAACCTGAAAACATCTGCTGGGTATGTTGGTTTTAATTAAAGATAACATGATTACAGGCAGTACATAGATCAATACATTCAAACTTTAGCGAGAAGTAGCCAGGCAGGGGGCCCTTGTAGCTCAGTTGGTAGATCCTCTGGTTCCCTAAAAGGTACAGCATTCCCCGCTGCTAGGGTAAAGCTATGGGAAAGTCTTCTCCTTGTATCCCCCTCTAATGTTCTGACCTACAAGCTATCTGAAAGTTCAGTATAGGAGGAATAATCATGATGCTAATTTAAGGACATTGTTTTAAGAGTAAAATGCATGGATAGTCCATTAACTTGTGAGGGTGTGTCGATTTGGTCCATCAGGTTTGAAAGTGCATTTTTTGGTCCAAAATCTTGATCAGTGGTGCATAAAGAGTCCATACCCCTTCCTTTTATGTTTAAATTTGTAAAACCCCCCTATATTTATTTTTCTTTCACAAGCTTGTTGGCCCAGTGTGCGCAGTCACCACTGGCGCTCGCTGCCGCTCGCCACGGCTGACCCATGCCACCGCACTCGCCCCTGCCACGACCTGTGCTGCCGCTCGACTGTGCTCGCGCACCCAGTGCCACAGGCATCACGCGTCGCTCGCCGCGCTCGTCGCCCACCCGCATCCCAAGCTGCGCACAGAGCACCGTGACATGGATAGCCACGGTGGCGGCCAAGGTGATGCAGCTCATGGCGATGGTGCGGCTGTTCCGGAGAACAAAGGCTATGACGGCAGCAAAATAATGGCGGGGGAGTACCAGGGGAGCACCACGGACACATACAAGGTACCGGTTGGGGCAGAGGAGGTTCGAGGAGGGATGACAACATGCGCGCAAGCGGGGCGGCGACGCTCCGCGGCGGACACGGCGGCGTCAGCTCGTCCGCGGTGATGTCTTTGTGCAAACAAAGGAGAACATCGGCACGGGGAGGTCAAGGGCAGTCCTCCATATCATGTAATTGGACCAATTTCAACAGACGAAGCTTACCTCCAAAACAGCTAGGTCTCAGCGGTGAACTAAGTGGCGGCGGGGAAATCCAAAAGTAGGCCGTCCAGGACTAAGGGAACGCGCCCACGCGCGTGCAGCCGAGCCAAGCACCATTGGTTCGTCGCAACGCGGTTAGACGAAGGGGCACTGCCTCGGTCACACGGCGCGACGAAGCAGAAGGCGACAGCGAGAAGGCAGAGAAACTGCAGCAGGGGCTTGCGCGGAGACAGGTGCGATGCCAGCAGGCGCCCGCTGGGTTCACACTTCACAGTAAGGGTGCACATGCGTCCGCCCGGTTTGCCCCCATCCGGAGTACAGCGATCAACGGGGAAGAAAAAATGACGACGTGAGCAGAGCGGTCACGTGCGCGAGTGGCTTGGCTTTGCCACTGCTCTTGTGGTGGGCCAGCGCGCAACAGCGGCAGGAGTAGCAACGGCACAGGCGCACGCGGCAGCGCGAGCCCAGCGGCACATCATAGCAACACAGCACAGCAACGTAGTGGCACCGGCGCATGCGCAATGATGGCTCTTGGGGCGTGACCAGCATAGCGAGGAGGTGGCCGCAGCATGCGCTCGACCAAGCACGCAACAGCGGGCCACAGAAGCGTGCCAGCCGGCCGTGGCGCGACAGGGAAGCGAGGAGAAGGCGTTGCGGCCAGACAGGGAGGAGAGCAGGCCAGGGCAGCACGGCGAGGCCAGGCGCTGCATCGGCAGGGGCTCATCGAGGAGGCGCACTGGGATCTCTTCACGGCGATCGCCTTCTCGTTGCCGTTGTGCCGAACGCACAGAGCACGTTGGGATGGTCGATCCCACCGATGGCCATCACCTTGTCCCAGAACTCGTGCTCCGGCAACGAGGTCTCCTTGAGGCGCTTCACCGCCATGACTGGCCCAGACTCGATCGTGGCCTTGTACGTGGTGCCGTGCGTGCCCTTGCCAAGAACCTCACCGGACGCGCATAGCAGGTCCTCAAGGTTGTAGGGCCGGGGAATCCTGCCGAAGAAGAAAAGCTTCTTCCGTCCCGCGGTTGCTGCTGGTGGGACTGAAGGCAGTGGCGGCGGCGGTCACGCGTCACGTGGAGTGTAGCCGTTGGGGCTCATTGCCTCTTTGCTGTGCAGGGCTAGCTCCTCCGCAACGGCGTCGTGGCTGTGGTAGGTTGCTCTGGGCCCCCGCCGGTGGTGGCCTGTTGCGACATGAGCGAGCGCGGGAGCTCATGATGGCCTTGGCCATGGCGGAGTGGTCGAGCCCGAACGGGTTGTTGGGGCCTTGGCCATGGAGCTGAAGGCTGGCATGTCGCCGGCCTCGGACAGCATGGCCGGATCGACGGAGCCGAGCAGGTCCATGTAGTCCGGCACGGTCCTGGCGGGCGCGCGGCCCGCCGCGGCCACCGAAGGCGGCGGTGTGGCAGACTTCTTGGGCGAGGACGACGGCGACACGCGGGGGACTTGAGGAGCACGCGGAGTGCCCGGTCCCTGTCGGCGGTAGCGTTGACGCGCGGGAGGAGGTCCCCGGCGCAGAGCCCCGAGAAGGCGAGCGCGTCCGCGGACGCGGCCGCAGCGAGGAGGAGGTGCGCAGCCGCGACGGTGCCCGGGGCGCCGCTGGCCGCCAAGATGTGGAGCGGCGTGGCGCCGTCCGTGGGCGACGCGCGCGCGGCCTCCGCCGGCGCGGAGGACAGCACGTACGCCAGCACCGTTGTGCTGCCGTAGAAGAGATCCCGTGCATTCGAAGACAGGGAAGGGTAAGGTTGTGAAAGAAAAATAAATATAGGGGGGCTTCTACAAATATAAATATAAAACGAAGGGATATGGACTCTTTATGCCCCATTGATCAAGATTTTGGACCTAAAAATGCACTTTCAAACCTGATGGACCAAATCGACACACCCTTACAAGTTAATGGACTATCCATGCATTTTACTCTTGTTTTAATTGATTGGGGTGAACAACTTGTAGCTCAAAAGCAGCTTGTATTTGTTTTTACAAAGTATCTCATATTTGCAGTTAAACAACATATAATAAGCTTGTTTCATCATTTCTCCTCCTTTAGGATGATATTGCAGAGGAAGCGGAGACTGGAAAGATATATAGGGCAGACTATAAGGACAAACATGGCAGAACTGTTCTTGTATTGAGGCCTGGCTTAGAGGTTAGTTTAGATACTAGAGATTAATTTTCTGGAAATAATTGAGTAAACATCTTCAGATTATTGAGATTTTTGTTGGTCTTGCAGAGGTATTCTGTATGGTTCTGCATCAGATATGCCTGTCATCTAACATGCTTGGAGATTAGAATTAGAATTTAATCATATGATCTAGAGAACATCTAGAAATAACCATAGGCTATCTTGCAAAGTGCTAAGCCTGCCAATATGAGTATATTGAACAACAAATGTGAAACACATGATCAATCAACCTTTATGATCCTAATTTAAAATCAAACTATTAGGAGAAACAGAAGGTGAATTTCAAACTATGCATTAAATACCTTCAATACTTCTCTCTATTTTCCCTAGTTACCTTGACAATCTTTTGTTGAAAATCTTGCATTTCCTAATTCCAAATTACCAATGCAGTTTGAACTTGAATTTGTATGGTGTTAGTTTACTTTGAGGATTATAACAAAAGGTGTTTGATATTGATTTGATGAACCAATATCATCGTGCAGTCTAGGCTTCAAAAGATTGTTGATCAAATGTGAAACATCTATTTTTTAAAACTTGTATGTTTGGTCTTTTTGAAATGTGGCAGAACACTACCTCAGCAACAGGACAGATCAAATATCTAGTCTACTCTCTGGAGAAAGCAATTATGAACCTGCCGGAAGATCAAGAGAAAATGGTATGGCTGACAGATTTCCAGAGCTGGACATTGGGAAGCACACCGCTGAAGGTGACCCGTGAGACTGTCAATGTCTTGCAAGACTGTTATCCTGAGAGGTTGGGGCTTGCAATCCTTTACAACCCTCCTAGGATATTTGAATCATTCTGGAAGGTGACCACAACCGACTTTCTTTTGTTCACTTGAGAACTAGTATTTCTTCTGTTTCTGCCATTTGCACAGGGTGCATCAGTGTAGGAGTGATTGCTACCAGCCTACCATGATGTTGTGTTAAATAGGCCCATACTGAAGGAATTTGATCAACTATTTATTGTGCTTCCATTCTTTACTTAGATTTGTTTGTCAAATAATTAAATTTGGTAATACCATCCTTAATGAATTTGAACTATTAAAATTCAAATGTAATGATCCTCTTCATCTGTGTTCCATGATGTGTTGTGCACTCTACTGCTACCAAGACCGGGACCCCAATCATGGAAATTAAACTATATGAAACTAACAGATGCTCACTGAAAATGGACTGTATGGATCATGTTGTGGATAGGGAATATCCAATCCGTCGCCATTATTACCATTTTGCACTGCTTTCACCCTTTTTCTACTCAGCTACATAAGTTATTCCATTGGTTGAAACAGCAACCAGTCTAACCATAATTACAACTGACAGATAGTGAAGCCGTTCCTGGACCATGAGACCCGCAAGAAGGTCAAGTTTGTGTACTCCAACGACAAGGAGAGCCAGAAGATAATGGCAGAAGTCTTTGACATGGAGGAGCTTGACTCGGCATTCGGGGGAAAGAACCCAGCGACATTCGAATACAACAGCTACGCAGAGCAAATGCAGGAGGACGACAAGAAGATGGGATCATTGCACAGTTCAACCAATAGCTTGCTTGAATCAGCTGAGAAGGAGGCTAATGGCGCAGATTCGGACGCCTCAAGTGAGGCCTCCTTCTACAGTGGAACTGACTCTCCGAAACATGAGGACGGCGAACACAGCATCCATCGCAAAGAAGAACGGCTGAACTGAGCTGCTTTGATTGCTCAAACTGAGGGAGCTGAGGAATGGAACATCTAACTTGAACGATTGTCAGGACCGATGGCGATGACAGATTACAAGCTGGTTAGATAACGTTGTCGGGTCTAGGCGGAATGTATATTTGCTGCTCATGGTATTACAGAGTATATGTAAGAGTTTGGACCATCAACGGTGAATTGGTGATGCGCTATATATCTTTGGAATAAGTTCCCACTTCTTCATGGCACATGTTTGGTTACTCGTTGACGTCGCCCAGTGTATATTCCAGTTCCCAATGTCTCTAACAGCGTTTATCAACTTGAACCATTGTATTTCTTGGAAATTGAACTGTACCAGCCAACTACTGTATTTCCTCTCGAAAAACAGAGGTTGTTCCAAAAAGTTAGTTTTGATTTGCAAAACGAGTCTTCAACCATCATTGGAAACGAAGGAAGTACCAATGAGTAAAACATGAAACCCAAGAGGTAGCACTGATTAAAACATGATGATACAAAAAATTGACGACGTTGGTATATGTTTGATACCAAAATTTTGGTAGCGAACTTAAATTGTAATTTTGAAACTTTGTGGTTAGGATTGTAAAAAGCTTCTTGCATAATCTTGCATATTTGCTTCATGCATTTATGTCTTACTATCTAGAAGTGCGTGAGCGTAAACTGAGAACAGGGTAATATTTTCACGAGTACATTGAGGGCTTGAGGCTATTTATTTTCATCGTGATTCATGCTGTAAGGGTGCATAGGAAGAATCATGGACATGTGAGAAGAACCAAATGGATAAATATCTTGTGAGAGTTAGAGTAAAACAATGTGAGCAAAAGTGCATGTGATTTTGCTTTTACTTCTTCCGTTCCAAATATAGGATTTATTCGCATTAAGTAAAGTCCAACTTCATAGATCTTGACCGACAATCACTCAAATTATATACGTATTTTGTACATAAAAAAAGTCATATAAGCATATTCATATTCCACGTATCTTTTAATACAAACTATTTTTAAAACATTGATGATATACTGTATTCCTTCCGTCTTAAAATAATTGATCATCGCAGAGCAATCAACCAATCTAAAATTTAACTAGATTTATAAAAAGATAGTATTGTTAAAATGTAGTATAACAATTATATTTCTAAATAGGTTTACCTTTAAAATATATGTAATCTAATGATATTTATCTAACATCATAAACATTAGTATTTTCTCGTATATATTTTGCCAAAATTAAGATTGATTGCCTCTTCGAAGTGCCGATGAGTATTTATTTTAGAACGGAGAGAGTAAGCGTGAATAAAGTAATTAATCCTAACACGTATTATAAAAAGAACAGTGACTATTATTAGGGATGGAGAGAGTAAGAGTGAATAAAGTTATTAATCCTAACACGTATTATAAAAAGAACAGTGACTATTATTAACGATAATGATACACCACGGGCGCGCACGTCGTTGCTCGCTCCCGCTCGTTGCTCTGCCTGCCCGCACGTCGTTGCTCGCTCCCGCCTGCGCCCTCATCCTCCTCTCTAGTCGTGGAAGGGGAGACAGGGGAGGTGTCGGCACGAAATTTTGTCCCATGCCGAGGGCACACGAGAAAGCCGGAAGGGTCTGCTCGATAGAGCTGTAGATCCGCCTGGCTTCAACGCAGGGGTGGTCGATCCTGCACACTCCTCCCAAGACGTGCCAGTCAATTTGATCCTGCAATTAACAAGGAGAGAAAGCTAATCAGTAATTTAAGACGGAACATGCCGGTGTTGCCAGACAGTCCCGAATGTGCGGCTCTGAGAGTCGATATGGAAGAAGATCGACTAAATAGTCGATTCCAGCATATTCATAGGAACAAATCAGTTAAAGCACGTGGGGTTGTGGAAGAAAAATCGGTTATCATTTAGGATAAACATCGTTATTTAGACAAATATTAGTCAATGGCAATAGGATGTTAACAATAATCAGTTTATGTTAAGCTAATGACTGCAAGTAACCGAATCCCAACTTATATAAAAGAAATAGCTCAACACCATTTAACCATTTAATAAAGATAAATCTAATGAACATATTAGATCTCATCTATCGTCATGATCAGTGGGGCATGAGGCAGAATCATACAGGCCGTAGAAACAGCGATAAACTCGATGACCCTAACTTATTACAAATATCAGTGGGGCATGAGGCAGAATCATGCAGGCCGTAATACAATTATAAGATCATGGGGCTAACATATATTTCAACCTATCTTTACTTCAACGGTCTCGTGACATGAACTCGTGAAAACACTCGATATCGCCTAAACAACCGATTCAGGCATAGCGCACAGTTAAGGTCATACCCTATCAGGAATATAACTACCAAATAACGATCCCCGTTCCACGGTGCTAACAGTGGGGTGTGAGGCAGAATTACACAGGTCGTGATAACGGGTCAAGGAATGATTTTCGCTAGCCAATAGATCTATTCAAGACCAGACATGCCATAACCGCACACTATGCACGATCAAGATTGACATAAAACAGCCGATAAAACATAACTCATCGTTTAAGGTGCAGATTAGATCAGTTTAGATTAATAAACGATCTGTTAAAAAAGATATAAGGCCGATCTAGATCAATCCAACTGGGCGAAAGCAATAAGCAATATCGGTAACTTAATGAATCTATCTGAAGGAACGCCACCCTTAGATAGAGCCGATAACTTGACCTTAATCTAGTTCGAGCAGTGGAGGTCGACCGAATCGATGCAGCCGTACTTGAACTAAACAAGACTCGATAACTAACTTATACCAGAGTCACAGTGGAGGTCGACCGGATCGATGTAGCCGTACGAACAGAAATATAAGCCATGACGGTACTTACAGACAAGCCGGAGGTCGGCCAGACCGATGTAGCCCTGCTCGTTGAAGAACTTGCCGAGATCTACTCTACTCCTATTCCTATTGGGTGGCCAGAGCCGAAAAAAGTAAGGAACTTGTATTTGATTGATTGTGTGTCATTTTACAATGGCCGGAGTCCAATATTTATACCCGTATCCTAAACATGAATCCTACCCAAGCATGACTCGTTATAATCTTTGGTATAAAAGAAAATATTCCTAATTTAAGATAACTTACCCTAATCTTTCCCTTTTTGTAGAGTCCGATATGTAGTTTCCTGATGCCAACCGTAGCTTATCATCGCTATCTGCTAACGTCATCCAAAGAGATCCGATTCCAGAGTCATATCTGAATCAACTAATATCAATCCTTCTGCAATCGATTCCTTGATAGGCACAATTCTGGAAGCCTTCGAATTCCCACGTTCTTCTTCCAAATTTTGGTATAAACACATGCCCCCCAATTTTGGGATAAAAGTGATTTTATTCCAAAATTCCTATTTATCCGTTTACCACACCGCAACCGTCCTATTCCGAGATATACGCGCGACTCCTGACTTCCCGGGCCGAGTCTTATATAACACCCCAATAGTATCTCTTCCAACTCACTCGGCCTGTTTGCTTTCTCCTTCTTTCTCGAGCCAACTTTAACAGCCGATGCCGCCATCGCCAAGGCCTCAAACCCTAGCAAATTCTCTGTTCTATCAAGCCGTCATCCAAGCGATCTTCGCCAGATTCAAACCTATTTCAGCTACAATGGTGACCATCGACCACGTCCCTGAGGTATGCCTCCAAGTTTCCACTCTCCAAGCATCGGCCGCTACCTTGTATTTCTTTTCTTCTCAAACTTATCTCGTCCAATTTCTAGGAAATGAGGAACGAAATCTTGATTCCATCAGCCGTTGCTTCTAATATCTATTTTCTTGGGCCTATGGGTGACCCTGATCCATCTGATTTTATCCGTCAAGAAACCAACCAAATCCCCTTCAAACAGTCTGTAGTAGATTTATCTTCCTGGAACACTAAGACTCCCTTCAAAAATTGGCCTAAAATGCCCAAGGGATGGAGAGACTGGTTTCGTAGGGTGTCCAAGAAAAAGGGTGGAGATTGGGAACTTTATGATCTGAATTAATGCTTGACTCTTTCGTTGTCTGGGATGGAGAGGAACGACTCACTTCTGATTGCTGCATCTTATTTCTGGTCCACCGCCCTGAATGCCTTTGTATTTGGTCACGGCCCAATGACCATCACCCTGGCCGATGTTTATATGTTGATCGGCCTTAGAATCATTGGATTAATGCAGCCTTATGAGTACTTGAGTGCTGGCTCCAAGAAATTAGCCAAAATAGCAGACTGTACAGGATGGGTCAGTTACATTCTGAACCACGTTGGAGATGGATCAGCTGTCAGCGAAAGAGAATACGTGGCCTTCCTGAACATGTGGCTGTAAAGATTCATTTTCTGCTGGTCATCTTGTGGTCCAACCTATAATCACAAACTCATGGCGGAGCACCTAGCATTAGGCAAGGATATCCCTTTTAAAAAGTATCTGCTAGGAGCTGCTTATCATCTGATGTACCAGGTGGCTGCCCAATTACTGAAGAATGAACCAGTGCATGCTATCAGTGGCCCCTGGTGGTTGATACAACTGTGGCTTAACCTGTACATGCACAAGATTATAAGGCTTGATCTCAAAAACCTGAGTTTCCCTTCCTCCATCTTTGATGAGGAATATAGAGGCGAAGAAGGAAGAACCCGTCAGTGTACAAGCTATGGTGAGGTTGCATCGGTCATAACAATCGATATTGATATTGGCCATCTCTTCAAAAAGTTTTACAGAGGGTTCAATGCAGGCATCCTGACTTGGCTACCATATAATGATGATGAGAACGATGAGCTGGTCTTCCCATTCAAATTCTGATTTGAATCAGGCTGTTCGGACGAGACAGCGGCTGTAATCTTCAATTCCTTCATTGAGCCCTGTGTCCTTCCAGCCGAATTTCATCATGGTCGCGGCAAAATGGCTACAGGTTCCTTCACCCCAGGCGACCTTCCAACTTATGAGTTTTACAACCCTTAATTTGTGGCTTGTCAGTTTGGCCTCGGTTAATTGCCTCCTCAACTGCTCTTCA